GAATTTAGGTAATTGAGTGTTAATTGACTGTTGTGTGATTTTTGGAAAGAAAACCCCGTGATTAGCTAGTGTTTTGGCTAATGTTTGGAAGTGGCAGTACTGTTCACGTTGTGAGCACTGTTCACGGGTACTGTTCATAGGCACTGTTCACACACCGAGGGTCAACGATTAACGGGGATTTAAATGATTAGTTTGTGATATAAGAATAAATGTGGAGATTGATAGAAATAGCAATGTGACTAAGGGTAGTGCTAAAGATGATTTTACTGTGAATTTGTGGTATGATTATTAATTGTGGAATATTGTGATTAGGTTTTGATCGTTCTGTCATCGTAGCACTTGGGTTAGCCTTCTGTTCTGTGCGAGTAAGGTAAGTAAATTATGGTAAAGCCCTTTGATTTTAAAGCATGTTTTAAACTGTTTTTGAGATGGTGGCAAGGTTTTAATTGATTTTAAATTGATTTTACCAGCAATTGAGTGTGATTAACTGAAAAGGAAATTGTGATGGTTTTCATGAGAATTTCCTTGTTTTTCTGGAAATTGAGCATGACTGAAATGAAAATGAGAATTTCATTGCTTTTCTAGAGTTTAGCATGCCTATTTGGAATTGACTAAATTGTTTTGATGAACTGAGAGTTTGCAAGTTCTGAGGTTTCTGTTAAATCCATGTTCACATGGAATTTTCTGGTTATTTCTGAAATTTGGGATTTTGATTGTGAATCCTGCATGGTTTTGTCTCTGATATGGTCATGATTCCTGATCCCCGCTAATGGGTGTGTAACACTTCCGATCCCCGCTAGTGGGTGTAACGCTGGCACTCCTGATCCCCGCTAGTGGGTGTGTAGCATCCCTGATCCCCAGTAGTGGGTGTAGCGCTAGCACTCCTGATCCTCGCTAGTGGGTGTGTAACATCGCTGATCCCCGCTAGTGGGTGTAACGCTAGCACATGTCGACATGTTTACTGATATGACCGGTTTGTTCTAACACCTGCCACTGGGCAAATACATTGGCAAATTTCTGTCGCCTGCCAGTGGGTTGTTATAACACTGACCATGACTTATAGATGAGACTACTGAACTGAGTTTTCTTCTGCATTAGCGGTTTGTCAGGAAACGTTTTGTTGTTGAACTGAATCCGATTTTTGTTATTGAGCGTTTTGTTATATTGAACTGTTTATCTGGCATGCTAACATTTTACTCACGGGCTATCCATATTTTACTTACTGAGATATTTTATCTCACCTCGTTTCTCCTTGTCCACCATTTCAGAAAATGAAAGCGAGGACGGGGAAATCAAGGGGAGTGACGAGTTAGAAGGCTAGCCATTTCGAGATTGACATAGATTTAGAAATAAGTCATGATCTTGTAAGCTAGAGTATATTTGGAGATTTTATGATATCAAAGCAGATTGTAAAAATTTGATCTTGAGATTTTGTGGTATCAGATTGTGATTTGAATAAGTTCCGAGCCTTGTGCACTTGTGGGACCCGTCTCACGAGTGCACGGCATCTGTCGCGTCTCGGATTTGGGTTCTGGGGTGTGACACACCTATTGACACAAGAATTGCTTTTTCCTGGTGGCAAAAAATTGAAATAAGGGTTTCAAGATTGCAAGTTCAAGTCCCATAGGAGACAAATTTCTCAAGACTTTATGCCCAAGTATTGAACCGATCGAACGATTTATCAATTTGAGCAATTTCAATGGTTCTTATCAATTTCAAATGGTTTAACCGTTCAAATGATTTAAATGGTGCACCCAAACCATTTATACTACCGAGTATTAGTTGAATTGGTCCAGTCAATCGATCTAGTCCAATTTTCAAAACTATGGATAGAAGTCAAACCTAGTCAAAACCTGCCTAAATTCAGTCAAATTCACTCAAACCTAGTAAAATTCAATTGACCCAAACTAGCTCAACTTCTTCTTTTTTTTACCTTTTTTTTCATTTTTCTTTAATTTTTGCATTTATTTATTTAATAGATAATATAGTAATTAAATTGTAAAATCTATTTAAAAACAAATCACAATTGAATTTCAAATAAAAGAGTGATTTTAATTTAAAATCAAATCAATTCAATTTTGGATATAAAATAAATCACTACTTTAGATAATGAAATAAATGAAATCAATTTAAAATTAAAATTAATTTAAAATTAAAACTAATCTCAAGCAATTTTGGAAATAAAATCAATACAAAGAAAAATAATTCTATAATTAATATGATATCAATATTTTAGATAGCTAATAAAGAAAAACATATTATGTATTTTAATAAATGTAATGAATGAAACTAATTTGAGATCAATAAATTTTGAAAATCAAATCTTAAAAATTAATAACTACTTTGATCAATGAAGGTAAAAATGATTTCAATCAATTTTAAAAATAAAATCAATTAAAGAAAAATTAATTTATAATTGATAAAATAAATTTAATAACATTTACTAATTTTAAAAACCTTAATTTGGGGTTTGATTGGTACAGTGGTTAAACTTCAGCGGATAGCGGATAGTGGGTAACGGCAGCAGGTAGCGGGTAACCGGTAGCAGGTAACGGGCAGCGGGTTGCAGTTAGCGGAGAGTGAATAGCAGATGATAAATAGCGGATTCAATAAATATAACTGTTTTACTATACAATAGTTAGCGGTTGTTATTTAAAATTAAATGACTAATAAGGACATATTTAAAAATAAAAAAGTGTATTTTTTAAATATTTTTATTTATTATTATTAAAATTATTAATTTTATAAAAAAAAATAAAATAAATAAATAAAATTAATTATAATAATGTAATTACATCCTCATTTTTTAAAAAAGAAAAAATTATATTATTTTTAAATAAAAAATTAATCATTTTATCTAATTAACAAATTTTGTTTTTTAAGAAAATATATTTTTTAATTATAAATTAATGTACAAAAAAAATATTATAATCACTTAATGTTATTAAAGGTAAAAAACAAATTTGAAATTTATTAGATAAATATTAATTAAAAAATGTGACCAAAAATTAAAAAATTAAAATGAATAAATTGGTCAATAAAATTAAAAAACTCTAATCCGCTAACGGTTTGGTACAAAAAGCTACATAGGCCCTGTTTGATATAGCGGTTTTGAAGTAACGATTAGCGGTTTTATCTAAACCGCTAAATATAGGTGTTTGGTAAACTTATATATTTCAAAACCGTTACAAATAAAGTGTTTGGTAAAATTTTTATTTAGTGGTTTAAAACTAGCGAATAGCGGTTAGAGTCTAAACCGATAGGGGATTAAAAAAACTAGTTTATGTAGCTTTTTATACCAAACCACTAGCAAATTAGATTTTTTAATTTTATTGACCAATTTATCCATTTGAATTTTTTAATTTTTGGTCGCATTTTTAATTAATATTTATCTAATAATATTCAATTTTGTTTTTTTACCTTTAATAACATTAAGTGATTATAATATTTTTTTTGTACATTATTTTATAATTAAAAAATATATTGTCTTAAAAAACAAATATGTTAATTAGACAAAATGATTAGACAAAATGATTAATTTTTTATTTAAAAATAATATAATTTTTTCTTTTTTAAAAATAAAAATGAGGTTGTAATTACATTATTATAATTATTTTTATTTATTTATTTTCTTATTATTATTTTTATAAAATTAATAATTTTAATAATAATAAATAAAAATATTAAAAAATACACTTATTTATTTTTAAACATATCCTTATTAGTCATTTAATGTTAAATAACAACCGCTAACTATTGTATAGTCAAACAGTTATATTTATCGAATCTGGTATTTACCATCTGCTACCCACTTTCCGCTATTCGCCATCCGCTATCCACTATCTGCTACCTGCTATCCGCTATCTGCTGAATTTTAACCGCTGTACCAAACAGACCCATAAACTAGCTTTTTTAACCCACTAGCGATTTGGACTCTAATCGCTATCCGCTAGTCTCTAACCGCTAAATAAAAATTTTACCAAACACATTATGTGTAGCGGGTTCAAAATATATAAGTTTACTAAATACCTATATTTAACGGTTTAGATAAAACCGCTACCTCAAAACTGCTATACCAAACAAGGTCTTAGAGTAGCACCTGGGCCTCACGGCCCAACAGCCATAGGCCGGCTTGTAAGGTGCATTCTCCAACCCAAGGGTTGGGGTCCGATTCCCTCCACCCCAAAATTGTAACCTTGTTCGAAAAAAAAAAAAAAAAAAAAAAGGGTGCGAAGTTATAGGTTTAAACATTTATAATACTAAGTAACTAACCTTCTGATGTATGTAAAAAAAAAAAATTCATAACTTGGATATTTTCAAATAGAATTTATTTATTATCCAAAATACTACTTTATAAAATACGCCATAAAAATAAGATAAAAATTCATCTTAAATTATAAGATAGTAACCCTTATCTGTGAAGCACCAAAAAAAAAAAAGGAATTTCCCAAACATTTAAAAAAAAAAAAAGTTACAAGTGTTGAAATAATCAAATATTTAGGAAAAATTATTTTAGAGTAAAGAAAATAAAAAGAAAAATTATTTAAAAATTTCTATTAGACCTCCCCAAATACCAATAAAGATTTTCATTAAGAATTTAACACAAGTAACTAACATTGGATTGACTTTGGTAATTTTAAAAGGTTAGGGACCTATTTGTTGTATATAGGCGTGTGCAGAAAGTCAGATGTAGAGAAATTGGTGTACGTAAGGTAGTTTTAGAAACTTATCTTAAAGATAATATTTTTTACTTCTTCGCAAGAAGCATTATCCCCAAAACACAATGCCTACCATATTGAACTTTAATACCCAAAGCCAATATATTGATTAAGAGGAAAAAATTTTAAAAGAAAAAAGTTAAGGATTTTTTGTATACAGACATTAATTTTGTGGGTATCTTTTAATTTATATGACTCAATAGGTGCCATTTGCACCATTTCACAAGGATGCAATTCTCCACCAAGAATTGTAATTAGAGCATGTTTGGGTTAACTGGTAAGAACTTTTACTTTTTTTGTACTGTTTATGAGTGATAAGTTTAAATTTTTATTTAAAGAAAAATTTAAAAGTTGCTTTTAGAGATAGAAAAAAAAGAGTTAGAAATGAGTAAAAAAAGAGTTTATGAAAAATTTTGATTTGAAACTTTTGAACTCTTACTATTTGAGATCTTTTTAAAGTAAAAAAAATTAAAAAAATAAATTTTTAAGAGAAAAATTTAAACTTATGAAACATGATAGTGTCAAAAAAATTGAAACACTTGGAAGCTGAATCAAACATGCTCTTATACTGCATGGGCGGTTATTATAGACAGCCATTTGTCTGCTCTTACACTTCCCTTTAATTGTGTTGTCTCAGACTTTTGCCTTTTATTCTAACTTTGGTATTCAATTACATAGCAAAGTCATCCCAATCTTCAATTCTACCAGTGGATGCCTACCTTTGGTTCCAGATCTGCAACATCAGTGTCAACAAGAAGCTTACTGCAATTGCTGCTCAAAACCTCACCATCAGTGATTAGCTGGTCTTGTTGGGTTGTTGGGTTGTTGGGTTGTTGGGTTAGGTCTATCCCTCCTATATAGAGAAACAGCCCAATATTTATTGGACTAAACCCACATTTGTTAAGCCCACTTAAAGCAGTGATTTTGCAACCATTAGACACATAAAAGGGGTCTGTTTTTGGGATGATGCACACAGTGAAAAGCACGTGAGAGTGGAGCCAGCCGGCAGAAAAGGGGAAAGAAATCTGGGAAATTTCTGTAGTTTTAGTATCCTGTACAATTTTGCAACTTTGTTTGATCCTCAAAAGTTTATTGTCGGATTGAGTTAAAATTTTATTTATTCATAAGACATTAATCTATATTTTGAACAACTAATTTTTTATTTGAAGTTTTATAACTTTTGATTTTGTACTTTAAATAGTAACTTGTTTTTGGGTTATTATATCTCATTGTGGTCCATTTTCTTTGTCGATTTGTAGCTTGTTATTCTTATTGTTTGGTGCGATTTTTGTGTATTTTTAAAATAGGATATTATGTACTTTCTTTGATTATAGTGAACTTTTTCAGTGGATTAGATGTTCTATGGTTCTATGATTTTTACCTTTTTTTGAGAATTTTCATATAAAAATATTTTGTCTCTTAGGGTAATCGTTTTTGCCTCAGCTATCTTTGTTATTTGTGCATTTTTTAGTGCCTACCATATTTTGTTAGATCTTTATTTAGCTTACTCCAAATAGTTTTAGATAAATTAAGATTTTGGTGTCATTTTTGTTTGCGTTGTGGTTAGGTGATACTATGTTCTTCCCAACATGTCTGCCCCATCATGTCAATTATTTCATTTACTGAAGTCCTCGGACGTCATGCTGTAACAACTATTGCTTTCTAATTGACTACATTGAATTTGCAGGAAAATCAAGAAAACCTTGCAGTGACTCCGCACACCAGGAGGCACTAGTTTCTTTGGAGTAATAAACTGATGTTGTGGATGGAGGGAATCCTGAATTTCAAGATTCTGGTAATGTTGAACCATAGCATTAGTTGATGACAGATACAAAAATGAGTATTACTCGAATTCTTTTCATGGGATGATAAAGACGAGTTATGAAGATCAGTTGAAAACCCTGAGGGTGATGAAAAAATGTGACCAGCTACTCCATTAGTGGACGTTGCACGAGCTGCATGGGCTAGAGAACTGGTCATTTGTTCTCTTTTCATGGAAACTTCTTGATGAGAATCAGGCAGCATTGGAAATGTCTCTTCCGGAGACGTTGGAAGGACTGACAAGGATGATGACAGTGCTCCACACACCGCCAGGTTACTGAATGGATAAAGCAGGCCGAGCATCCGTAGTTTATCCTTCAGTCAAAATGTTGTGCCAACTTATATTAGCTAGTTGAGATAGTTCATCATATTGTTGCAAATCCACGAAATAAAAAGCTTCAAAAGGTACCTTCATTACTGTTTTGAGATGCTGTGCCACAGGGAAAGCTAGGCGCAGTTCGGATTCGGTCTAGTCGAAATCAAATTTTGAACTATTTGATTTTTTCTTTCTTTTTTTTATTTGTAGTAATCTAAACCAAACTAAATTTTTTATGGATTTTTTGGTTTGGTAATCAAAATAATCGGTTTTAATATTCTGGTTATTGTTTATAATTAAATCAATATTGAATGTCTACTTCAAGTTTGATAATAAATATACTTAATCAAAATTTAAAATTTTTAAGGAATATAAATACAACAAAATACAAAAAAGATGAATAAATGAGAGTGAAAATAAATTGAGTTTTATTTTTTTACTTTTAAATATATTTTAAATTTAAATACTAAATTTTAATAAAATTTATAAAATAGAACTTGAAAATGAAATTAAATAAGATGGTTTTTTATATTTATTTATAATATTTATATAACTATTATTTATTTATTAATAGAAAATTTTATTTTTTGATTATATATTTGGTATTTTTAATTTTCTAACCATTAACCAATTAAATTTTTTCAGTTATCTCATCATTAATTAATTTTTTTAATAATTTTCAGTTACTTTTTTTTAAAAAAAAAAATCAAAAGCAAAATTTTATTAAGAGAATGAGTCAAAGGAGTACTCACCCATACATGAAGAAAAAACAGGGAAGGAGAAAGGGAAGGTGTTAGGACTGAGTTGCACATAATATTGGAAAACCGACACCAATCACTTAAGCAAAAACTAGTGGACTTCGACCTTCCTTTAATCCAAGTAAAAGTCTTAACTTGCACTAAATCTGTAATATAATTCTCATCCCAAGAAAGTTTGTTGAAAACAATACCATTTCTGGAGTACCAAATAGCCCAAGCTGTTGTAAAGATGGTAAGAGCCCAATGGTGGCTTGCCTTCTTTGGGATTGGAAGCAAGCAAAGCTGTAGAAGTAGATGGGAGATGTGGTCTGTATGGATGAATTGAAGTCCCCACCAGCAGCATATACGGTTCCAAAGGCTTTGAGAAAATTTGCACTTTGCAAAAACATGGTTTGCATCTTCCATATAACTACCACATAGGACACATGATGGGTTTGATACTAAATCAACACCACGCTGTATGAGGTTATCCTTGGTAGGGAGGCGATTTAAGAAGAGGCGCCAGGTGAAGACACTAACTTTAGCTGGCATTAATTGATTCCATATCAATTTGCAAATGTTCTCATCAAGGCAGGAAGGAGACACATCAAGAAACAAGTATGCCATTTTTGCAGAATATCCTGAGGGACAGTGCTTCCAAATTTTTCTATCTCCTTTGCCTTCGGATACAGTAGCACTTCGCAAAGTGTCCTCCAAAAGGGGATCTACGCCATTGGAGATTTCAGCTCTCGCTATTGGTTGGTTTCAAATCAGCAACTGTCGATTCCTTGTCCAAAGTGAGGTTGAATAGTCAAGGAAATTCAAGCTTTAGAGGAGAGCTTCCCAGCCAAATATCCTTCCAAAAGCTAGTTTTTGAGCCATCACCCAACTGATGTGTGAAACCATTTGAAAAGCTCATGACGGTTCTATCACATACCCTGTCAATAGATAAAATGTCCTTTCAAAAAGAAGATAATCTTGAGGATGTAGTGTTGTGGATAAAATTACATGTAGAGCCAACATAGTATTTACTAACAACAATCTTTTTCCATAGTTTCTCATTCAGCATCATCATAGAATTTGTTCCACCATTTTCCTAAGAGGGCGATGTTCCTAATGGATAGGTTTGGGATACCGAGACCTCCCTTAGTTTTAGCTAGAGAGACCTTACCCCAATTAACCCAAGCAATCTTTTTATTCTCATCAAAAACCCCCCCATTTTTCAGTTACTCACTTGATTAACTAACCATTTGCCCAGTCCTAGGGAAAGCATAAATTTGTCATAACATAACATAATAAATAAGCATACAGCAAACAAAAAATTAAGGAAACTAACCAAACAAAACCTAAAGGAGATGTGGTGCACTATAACCAAAAAGCCAAGGCAATGCAAATAAGACGAAAACACACAGAGAAAAAGGTTTAGGGGTTATGCCTGAAATGATGATAGTGCCCATGAATGGCTGATGTTTCTAAATTCCGAACCAAAGGGCTTTAAACTAAAGCAGAAGAATCCCCGTGAAGTTGGTATGTTCCTGAATCATCCTGCCTTAATTTCAACCAATTCATGCTGCCTATCTTAAACCCCTCCCAACATTCAACACTAAACCGACTGAATTAAGATCTGCTACTGATAGTCGAAATTGGTATTCTCTTGAAGAAACCGAGACTACACAACGCCATGATCCTGACCTAAGCAATACGCAGTTCCGGATGTCCGATTTGAAAGCTTAGAGCTAGCTATTGGGTTAGAATTACACTAGCTGATTTTGGGTTTTTTGGAAAAAGGAACTAGAATTTTCAGAGAGAAATTGATGGAAACTAACGAAATAAACGAGGTTGGTATATGCAAAAGGGAGGCAGAAACAAAAGATAAGGTGGAAAACAGTGGCTAGGAGCGCCAGACGGTGCGGTTCCCATCCTAATGAGCGGATTCCCTCATCGGGAGAGCGGAAACCCCAGAAGGGCCGAATGTTATCACCCAATAAGATCAGTACCTAAATATTTGCTACATAAAAATGGAAAAATGATTGGGACCTTTCTCCCAAAATAACTATTAAATAAATATTTCTTTTATTTTAACTAAGTAAAGTTATTGTCATATCCTAAATAGTTAATACCATACCACACTCTTTTAATGTAATTATTGGCAAAATAATTTAATGTTTAAAAAAGTTTGCTAAAAAGTTCCATCAAACAGCCCCTGAACGTTGTCTCGAGAGCTCAGTTCAAGACCTATTAGGTCCAGGAAGCTAATAACGATGAGGAGCACCCTGAGCATGAGGAGCTGGGTTCAAAGGCAGTGATGGAGGACCATAACCGGAAGGATCCCCCTTCAGACCGCGGCGGTGCACGATACTTTGGTAATAAGGGATTACAGTTTCTGCCAATATTGATTATTGACAAAACACACAAAAGGAGAAATATTTGTTAAATCAAGCTTGTCTTCATGGAACGGATTGAATAAATGAATTAAACAATATTTCAATTCAAATTTAGGTTTGGCGGTGTACCTATGATAGCAGAGAAGTGGGGAACCCTAGCTTCTGCCAAGAGCGTCCATGAACAAGTGGTTGATAAAGCAAGTAAAGCCACAAGCAGCGCAGCAGCACTCCTGAAGAGTTTCTCCATTCTTTTCCTACGTCAAAAGTTCAAACAGAAAATATTAGTGGCGTGTAGGAAGTTTCAGATAAAAGTCACCATAAATTCAAATAATAGGAAAGGAAAAACACGACAAAACCAGAGAGACTTGAACCAGTCATTGACAACATGAAGCATGCTCCAAGAACGAAAAACAAAGCTTGAATGTAACAGTGCCACCCAAAGATTCTAACCTTAACTGAGAACCCAACAGAGCTAGGTCTCAACAATGGAGCTTATTTAAGATATCCATTGCTCTAAAACTTGCATTACATGGTTGTCTCAAAAGAGTAACCAATTGTTCCCAAAACTTGAATCCTAGATCAAGGAAACACCAACCCAGCCAAATTCCAAAGCTCCAGGGTAAGATATGTCTAGAAAACTAAAGCCACACTGAAGTGGGGTCTTGAGCTTGAGTCCAAGACCATCATAAAATTGATCATTGAAGGAACAACACATGACAGATTGCTAAAGCAATAATAAGCACCCACATCAGGGAAACATACTCTACAAGCTTGAAAGATCAGGTTTCCAAGTGATCAACTGAAAAGCAAGTGCAGGGTCAGAAATATCAACAGAATCATACCATTGATTGAGCAGGGGAATGAAAGAACAGTAATAAGAAGACTTGTCAATCTTGCTCTTTTGAGATAAGGACATGTGCTCAAAATCTACTTTCCTCACATGGGTTAACTCTCAAGTGCCCTGAGAGGATCCTTCTGCTACCATGCCAACGCTACCATGAGTCTGAGAAATAAAACAGCCTCACTCTAGAAGAACTCACCATGTCTTGCTACCAGTCATTAAATTCAGACGTCAAGATTATAGGGAATTCAAATTTCATGATACACGACCAACAAATTATGAAGTTAAGGATTTAAGCAAGACCCAATATCCTGGCATAATTAGATGACACCCAAGAGACATGTATGACATGACAAGGATTTAAGGAAAGGTACAACTAAAACTTTTGACCCCAAATAGACAGAGAGAGGACGACGTATGCATGCATGTATAGATGAATGCATGTATGAATCAGTGTTGTCAAAAGCGGTCGCTTGCTTCACTGCTTAAAGCGATGAAGTGAAGCGATTAGAGGCACTACTGCTTCAAAATTTCTGAAGCGCTCTACTTAAAAGAAGCGATCCCAAAGCGATTGAAGCGAAGTGAAGTGACAAAAGCACTCTGACGTTGAAGCGGTCGCTTCTTTAAAGTGACACAAAATGACAAAAAAGTATAGAAGCATTAAGGATTGAAATTGGAATTTTGACTCCAATTAGGGCAAAAACAGGAAGCTCTGTGCCTGCTGACTACCTCTTTCCCTAATTTTCTTTCTGATTCCATTGTCTTTTGAATTCATCATCTTCCTGAGGCCTAACTTCATTAATTCATCTACCATTTACAGGAAAGTCCTTGTTTCTTTTTCGTTTTTTCTTTTTCTTTTTTAAATTGCATATTCTCCTTCCCATCTCTTCTTCCCTGACTTCATCCTCTTCCCTAACTTTATGACATATTCTCTTTCCTTCTTTCTTTCTTTCTTTCTTTCTTTCTTTTTTATCAACAGATTATCTTAATTTAGTTAAGATAAAGTTTCCGTAAATATTAACAGAATTCTCTAGTATTGTCTTAATTCTATGCATTTCCTCTTTCTCCCTCCTTTACCTTTCAGTTCTATTTCTTATCGATAAACTTATAGTATTCAGACCTATCTAGTCTAGGGGACCTTGATTAAGAAACTTAATATCATCTGTATGGTATAGATTGAAATAGTCAGTTTTTCACTTTATAAGACTCCTGAATTTTAATTCCAAAACAGAATTTAGTTCTACGGAATTTAGTTCTACTTGCACAAAGTAAAGTAGAATTTAATTTAAACCTGTTACTTGCACCCTATTCTACTTTTCCACTCTTAATACTCTTAAGTTTCTATTCTAATTAGTTCTATTCTGTTTAATAATTGATCACTTCAAAGTGTTACTCGCTTCACTTCAAAGAAGCGATCACTTTGCTTCTTGCTTTTTTTAGGCCATCGCTTCGCCTCGCTTTCTGCCTTTAACAACACTGGTATGAATGAGAGCCTATATACATATATGTGTGTATGAATGAATGCCTATATGTGCATGCTTGCATGTATAGGCCTACATGGGGATACCTGTTTGCATGCATGTCTACACGAATGAATACTAGAGCAGATGGACACTTAAAATTCAACCACAGAACAATGTTAACCAAGAATCATGATCAGGTTTAACCAGGGAGCTGGAATCTAGAGATATGATTTAACCGTTAAACAAGTGACCAGAGTCAAGAAACTAGACTCATCCAAAGACAAGTAAGAAGATTTCAATAGTGACAACTAGAACAGAAGTCAAGAGCAATTACAGCTAGGATACGAAGATCAAATACCTCAAGTGACTAGAATTAATTAACAGATTTAATCAATACTTGGAATCCTAATATTAAAAGATTAGTATCTTATTAATTAGGGAGCAGAGCACAAATAAGAACAAGTAGGGAAAACAAACCATTTCCCAAAATTGAACTCTAGAGGCCATGGAGGCAAGGAATTTCTACAATTGAGTAATCTCTAGGATCAAGTCAAAATCAGAGATATCAAGAACATAGAGATTAGCATTCAACTGTCCATTAGTGATAGAGATCTAGATGCTTCTACATATATCTCTAGTAATTATCAACCCTCCTAAGGACATGTCCACATGAAACTTAAAATCAAAAAAATCAACAGCTATAGATAACAAGAACAAAGAACCATTGCAGGATTTAGAATTTGATAAGGAATAAATTCTAGGACAAATTGCAAGAATAGAAAAGAGTAGTTTTCAAAAGCAAGTTCAAAAATAGATTCCATGAACAAGTATCAATCAACTTTCAGGAATAAAACATTAAATATCTCAGGAAGCTTCAAAAACTGATTTCAAGCATAATGCATGAGGCAGTTTTAAGCAAGTATCAAGATAATAAGGATTCCCACCAATAATAATTGATATTCAATATCAATACTCAAGAACAAGGACCAGAGCAATCTCATGAAAATGTTAACAGATTTCAAGAGTCTAAAAAACAATTCAAACAAGCATCAAGAATTCCACCAAATAACTCTTATTCAGGTAACAAATCCTAGCAAGCATAGATTATGAATCCCAGCAGGTATAGATTATCAAGAGGGATCAAGTTTGAAAAACAAGAGTTCAAGCAAGATCAAGGAAAATGTAAACATCTCAAGTGATACCCCACACTTAACTCACCACATCCTAAATCTGTTTCTAGTCAAGTTTTATTTTAGTCCTAGGTATTTCGTTAAACCAAGGCTTTGATATCATAGAATCTATCACACCCTAAGCTGAGAGTGGAACAGATGCTGCACACCTATGAGTGGGTTCCACAAGTGTATAAGGCTCAAAACCTGTTTAAAATATTATGCAAAATCCATAACTAATAAAAAGTCCACTAAAACCATTATAAAAATAATATTTTAGGTAACCTATAATCTAAAGTCAAATAGCTCATCAAGTCAAATTATGTATAAAATCCAATGTCATCTAAATCATTGGATGTCCATGTGTAAAAAATATCTAGAATAACAAATATCAATCCAATAATAAATAAACTAGCCACATAACACATCACTCACCCTGATCCATCATCTCTAGTCTTGTTACTTGAAATGGTGGACAAGAAAAACAATGTGAGATAATTTAGGAAGTAAATTACAGGTAACTCAATTTTAATTTAAAAAGGAAACATGCCAAATATCAAATATCAAAACAGTAGCTTTTGTTATAAGCCTATAATGTATCATAAAATCATTTAGCAGTCTCCTTAATTAGTCATGGCCAATGTCTACACTCCCACTAGCAGGATAACAAGAGTAACTAGTGTTTAAACTCCGACTGGCAAGATATCAATAATATAACAGGATGAACTGGTTCTATGTTAATACATGTCAACAAGTGCCAGAGTTTACCAACTCCCACTAGGAGGTAAGCAATCATGACCAAGTCAAACACAAAACAATACAAGAATATAAACAGGATACTTATATCCTTAACAGGCATAATTCATAACATCATGCAGTTAGCAAATTCCCATAGGTATCACAAAAGGCATGCTCAAGCTTTTCAAAAAGAATCAAATGCAAAAATCTTTATAACAAAACATGTCATGCTCATATTATCATAAAAATGGGTTAGTTCCTGCCATCACCTCAAAACTAAAATATGCCCCTTTAAAACCTTATTTTAGAACCAAGAGTAAAAATTCCAAATTTACTTACCTCATGTTGCAAAAGAACAAGATAAATGCAAGAATCGAGATCTAAGATGATGATAACGATCAAGAACCTAAACAAGAATAAGAATCGATTCTTAACATGACAAACTAATCCTGAAAATTTTATAATTTATGACCATTCAAGATTTCAAGTCTAAATCTTTTTTGTTAGGTCATAGTAAAATCATGTCATTGGTTAGTAAAAACATGCTCTCTTTAATTTAGGAAAAGAAAGAGTATTTCTCTCAGGACACACCAGAAAGTTAAGAACAGCGAATTGAGCCTAAGACAGCAAAATTGGATACTAAAACAACAACGATTTGAGAGCAAGTTCTGGTCAAATTATGAACCAGAACTTGCAAATGAATTTGCACCTTGAAATCAATGAAACTGGGCTAAATGGTCAAATATGAATTGTAGCCCTATCTCTTAGCTTTCCATAGCTTCAAGAATCAATTCAATCCAACATGTACAGAGAAAGTTATGGTCAGATTACTAACACAAGGTCAGGCTGCCCATTCCGGTCACCCTTGGAAACCAAATCTTTCAGCTAAGTTTTCACCTTGGTAACCACTAAACTGTGTTGAATGTTCAACAGATAAATTGTAGGGCTATCTCTTATATTTCTATAAAATCAAGAATCACCTCAATCCAACATCTATAGAGAAAGTTATGATCTGAATTCTAACACAAGGTCAGGCTGTCAATTTGGAATTTCAGCAGCCTAATTATGGTCCAAAGCGTGCCCAAAACAGTGCAGTTCAAGAGCAGTAAAATGTAGATTTTCTTTAAACAAAAGCAAGCTTTCCGGTATGGAAACATGCTGAAATTGAGGTTGCTGTGTGGGTTGTTTTGAAGTAGAAATCAGTACCTAAGAATGGCAAAATCTGGTGGATATTTTGAAGCAGAAAACAGTAGCCAATTGAATTTAAAATTCTGAGCTATTAGCTGATTTTAGCTTGATTAATTACAGGAAATAAATTGAACAAACGCTGTATTGTGGCAGCATAAAAACTGAACTATACAACAACATTTTGGTGGCAAAAGTGCACCTTTAGGGCCTAAAATCTAACTAAAACTTAAGCATAACAAGGGCTGAAACAAAGACGAATTTTAGCACATAATCTAGCCATATACAAGGAAATTTTAGAGCAGAAAATAAAGGCTTCTCAATGAGATTTTCTGCGCAAGACAACAGCAGAAAAACAGCGACTAAAGGACAACCAAAGCAGTGGAGAAATCACGTGTTGGAAAACAACAGAAATGTACCAAAATAACAGAAATTCCTGCATAAAACAGCCCCAAAATCTGTCAAAATACCACCCAGAACAGCACTTAGTCGGACCAGATCAGCAACCTAGAACGCATCTAAAACGGCCTAATTCAATAAAAGTTAAAATAATTGCAGCAAATTTTCGCACAACAAGAACAAGAGATTCCGAGACAGATTTCAATGGCATCTTAGTAAAGAAATCAGCACCCATGATTGAATAAGAAGGAGGCTGACTCACCAATTTGTTGTCGTTGTCTAGGTCACAAGGGTTTCCAAAGTCTAGTAGAACTGTAGAGATTTCTGACCTAGAAAATGATCAAAATCGCAATGCCTATGAGAATACAAGCTGCTATGATGATCAATTGGTGGAGGAGAAGAATTTGAATTGAACAAGCGGAACAACAGGAAAATTCTTACCAGGTTTTGTTGAAAACTGACGACTGCAACTGAGGACGAGGTGTGAAAGGAAGCGTACAAGACTGGGAGAAAGAGGAACGTTTGAGTGGAAGCCTCTCTCTGGATTGAGGGAGTTGAGGGGGAAAGGGGAGTGGAGGGAAGTAAATGTCTCTTTTTATAGTGTTTGGATAACAGGAGGGGAAATTACAGGAAGGCAGATGGTGTGGCTGCATACTTCCCCCAAAATCCTTTATTTTCAATCTCTAAATTCTGATTTGACAGTATTGGTATTTTTTTATTTAATTTTTTTATTTTCTTCTTAAAAAATATAATTAAAATTTATATTTTAACTTTACTTTTAACCTACAAATTTATAAAATTTTAATTAATTTTTAAAATTTTTAATTTTATTTAATTAAATAAAAAAAATCCCCCCCTTCCTTCATCTTTTTTTAATTTATCCACATAAA